CAAAAGAGAAGAGGATTGATCTGAATAATCTCCTTTGTTTAAATCTGGGTTCTTCACGGTAGCGATGAGATGCCTCCCTCGAATGTTTGCGTCGAGTTTGCTTCTCGTTGACGATTCGACGTCTTGTTTCACCGGAACATGATCTTCTCCTCACGATTTAACGTTGTGGAGAACTTACGTGGCAAGTTTTAGAACTCTTGATGAGTTGATTCATCTTAACCGTAATTGGTTAGACAAGCCAAAGATCTCTTCTTTGCTGCCAAGGAGAAGGATCCAAAAGCCAGCCTCAAAGATTCAGGATCCCCCCAAGATATCTTCTTTGCTGCCAAAGAGAAGCCTCCAAAATCCAGGCCGAACTAAGATGATTTCTTAGTTATTTATAGGGGATTAATGGGTGGAACTGCCCCCTTAATTCGCTCCTAAGTGGGGCTAATGGGATGTAACTACCCCTTAAATCACTCCTGAGTGGAGTTGTGATCCCATCAGATCGTGGGAAACGGTTTTGAAACCGTTCAGCTCGTGTTTGAATGAGTCAAACGCAAAATCCGCGTTCTGGCGTGAGATCTGCGTTTGAACGCAGTGTTTGCGAGCTGCGTTGGGCAGCAGATGGAACCTGCGTTGGCAGCTGTTAAAAGCTGCGTTGGCAGCAGTTAGATGCTGCGTTTGTGGTCGAACATGAGCTGCGTTGGCAGCGAATTGGAAGCTGCGTTGGCAGCGTTGGAAGCTGCGTCTGAACTACGTTTGCAGCTATTTGGAAGCTGCGTTAGCATCTTGTTGGAAGCTGCGTTTGGCAGCTTAGAATCTGCGTTTAGCAACGGATAGAAGCTGCGTTTGCAGCTTTCGGAGGCTGCGTTTGGCAGTGGATGGAAGTTGCGTTTGCAGCTTTCGGAAGCTGCATTTGCAGCCGAACATGAGCTGCGTTGGCAGCTGAATCTGAACTGCGTCTGTGGCTGTGAACGCGGTGTGTCTTGGTGCTGGTACGCGGGGAGGACTTCCACGTCTTGGTTTGAAGAGACCGTCGATTTGTAGTCTCTTTCTGTCAGAACGTTGCAAAAATCGTCATTTTGTAATCTTTGCTTTAGCTCTTTGATATGTGAGAGTCGTCAGATTATAACTCCCGATGTTGATTGTGAAGGCTGTTTGATTAGAGCTTCCATCAGTTATCGTAAAGGTTTTCAGATTGTAACATTCAGCAATCTACGTGAAAATCTTCAAATTGTAGCATTCTGGAAGCCGTCGAATTGTAACTTCTATCATCGGTATTTGATGTGGATCAGCTGTCTGTAGTGATTTTTAGACAGCCTACAAAATCATCGAGATCACATGTCAAATGAGTAATATTTTGCATATCAGAATTTACATATATTTTCAAATGAAGTTGACAAGGTAAAGCTCCTCATTTCAGTTAAAACAGTTTACAGATATTTACTTTTTTCTTTTATTAGTTACTAAGTCACGAAAAATCTTTTAATCCATTAAACTGTTAAAATACGTTCCAAATACTTCATCAAAAACTTTCAGATAAAATAATGCCCACGGTTATTTGAAAATTGCATGAGAGCCAAATTTATTTTTTATATTTTACATGAAAAAAATTAAATTTGCTTTTCATATATTATACGAGGCTAACATCGTATTATAGGATAGAGTACAACATAAATAGGTCAAATCTTTATATATATGAAAATGACATTATTTATTTTTCGATCACAAGACAAATCAAATATAATATTCACGCAATTTTATATTATAAAATACTAGTGAGAAATGAACTCACCTCTAGTGGACATGACCATCTTAAAAGATTAGTTCCCTTGATATCAACCAGATCCTATAATATAAGATGTAAGACTAATTATTAATTCAGGACAAACATATATTATAGGTAAATCAATTCATAATCTAGAGCCTAATAAATTCAAATATAATCCCTAACAGTTTAAAATCCCTAAATAGGATAGATATGGATTTATTTCTAACTTATGATGAGGTAGGGATAATGAGTAATTAATCCAGCCCGAAGTGATATCTTTATCTGCAAATTAGACTTATTTGTAAACAAAACAAATAACAAGGGTCCCAAAATAATTTTGCTATATAACTAAAAAAAATTTACATTTCCTCCCTCCTTTATCTCTTCTTCCCCCTTACTTTCCTCCTCATCATTCTTTTTTTTATGTTTCTTCCTTCTTCTTCTCCTCTCTCTCTCTCTCTCCCCCTCTCCTTCTCTTTTTTCCTCCTCTGCGGCGTCAAGTTGGCGCAGCTGCTCAAGCTCCGTCGGCGGAGCAGCCACCCGAGGGCGAGCCCTCCTCAACGCCGGCGGTCAGGTAAGTTTTTTTCGGTTGGGCATCAGAGCATCTATCTCTTTCTCTTTCTCACCATGGGGTAGGATCACCGACGATGAAGAGCCGTCAACGACAAGAACCGTCGGATCTAGGGTTAGCATTCTTTCTCTTTCCATAAAATCTTAATAGGTATTTCAAAAATCAAATTTGTTCATCATAATCACCATCCTATTAGAAACTAATTAGATAAAAGAGAATAGAAAATAAATTACCTTAGATTCCCCCACCCCCTTTTTTCACTGTCACCTTCTTCTTCTTCTTCTTCTTCTTTCCTTTTTTTTTACCCGAACTTCTCACTTTTTTCCTCCCTTAAATACTATTGGGAGGTGGTACTTGGTAAAGCGGTGGAGAAATCTCCGTCACAAAAAAATTTATAATTATTTTATTTATTTATTTATATTTTTCTAGCTATTATACTCCTAACCCTATTAACTATAATACTATCATTTTTTCTAACCGGGGCACTAAGAGGTCTTCATTGTACATGACCAAACTATCTTAATCGATTATTTCTTATTTTATCCTCAGCAGGAGCAACCTCTAATTCACAGATGCACTCATTTCTTATCTTATCTTTTAGTGTATACCCATAAGACCACTGTAACATTCTTATTTCTGCTACACTTATTTTTTACACATTATGTTTTATTTGCCTAATACTCTGACCCATAAAACATTATTGGTCTTATAAACCATCCTATAGAATTTTCCCTTCAATTTCATTTTAACCATCCTAATTTAATTTGATGGACAACATCGTTTTCAGTCTCACCATCATGCTGAATGATTGATCCTAAATATAAAAAATGATTACTTTTAAATATTTTCTTGACAATCAATATGTACTATAAGCTCTTTTTCTTACTTAATTTTACTAAAAATGCGCTCGATATATTCTATTTTTGTTCTACTAATTCTAAAACATTTAGATTCAAGAGCTTGTCTTCACCGTTCAACTTTAAAAATTATACATATTCTAATTTCGTTCAACTAATACTATATCATCCACAAATAACAATAATTATAGAATTTTATCCTGAACGTGCCCAATAAGTTGGTCAATAACTAATGCAAAAAGATAAATACTTAAGGCTGACCTTTGGTGTAAATCTATGATAATAGAAAATGGCTTAGTCTCTCCTTCATTATTTATTATTCTAGTTGTTACTCTCTCATACATATCTTTAATCACATCAATATATATACTAGATGCTAGATACATCATATGTGTTTCTTTTCTAAAGCCCACTACGTTACCTCTTTAGGCACTCTATCATAACTTTTTTCTAAATTTATGAAAACCATATGTAGATCTATTCTCTGCTCTTTATATCTCTCCATCAACCGTCTCAAAATATGTATAGATTCCATAGTTGACTTCCTGGGCATAAAACCAAATTGATTTTCACATACACTTGTTCTTTTTTTAGTCTTTGCTCAATTACCCTCTTCGAAAGTTTCTTAGTCTTTGTCTCCTTTATTCTTGTATATTGGTATCAACATACTAATTCTCCACTCGTCAGGCATCCTCTTTGTCTCGATAGTCTTATTAAATAATTAGTTATCCATCCTAAGCCTATATCTCCAAGACATTTCCAAACTTGTTTACAGGTATGTGTCAGAAGAAATTCAGATTCAAAATAGCAGGCCGTGTATATTATTTTCCATAACTAATGTATTTAAATTAATCACCTTAAAAGAGTCCAACATCTCTCTCTCTCATTATAAAGTTACCGAATCATGTAGGGCCTATAACAGAATGTGTTTACGGAATAAAGGAGACTAAAACCCATTAGAAAAGTACCACAGAAGATGACTATCTTGAAGGGGGTTTAAATAAAAAAAGAGCATTATAAAGAGCAAAATTGAAATGTGTGCATTAGAGAGACTTAGACAACTTGAGCCATGTAACTTACAAGTATGAAGTTGTCAAAACACATAGGCAATAATATTGTTATGAATAAGCATGTGTTAAGGAATATAACAGAGTTTAAACCCATAGGATGAGTAGCACAGGAATGATTATCTTGCGATGGACTTAAATAAAAAGGAAAATGATGAAAATGAGTGTTTTACAAGAAGGAATTAAACTACTTAAGGCATGTGAGACTACACTTTAAGGAGGCTTTTTAAATGAAGGCAAAAAATAATGTTATAAGCTCAGAGTAATGAAGAACATATATTACAGTAGCATGAAAATTTGAGGGAATAAGTGAATAAAACATGCATCACTTGTTACAAATGCCTGGCGACTAATTCAAAAAAACAAACCTTATTAAAATAGGGATGAGGGTCAGTGGTAATGACCCATTATGTCTAAGACTCTAAGCAACAGATAAATACTAAGTTCAATTTCAAAATAATTGTTAATTGATTGGAAATGAGAATGTCTAAGAAATTTTAGAAAAATCCATCATTTGGTCATTTTTCATGACATGATTTAGCATCATCAACCAAAATAGCCAGACAAAAGGTTAGTTAAGCAAAGTACAAGGTCTGCTACACAAAGGGTGACAAGGAAAGGAAAAAACGCACAAAATTAATACATAATAAATAGTACCATATGGGGGGAAAATTGTGGTTCCAAACTTCAGAAGATGATGCAAATTGAGTCACTGACTACAGTGATATGTATGATTTCCATACTCAACATACCAGCATATGGAGTATCTGGTACACGACATACGCAATCCTTGATGTCACTAGCTATCACCCTCTGCCATCATAGCGATTCAGCCACAAAGAAAAAGAACATCAAGACAATTAACATAGTTCACTAGGGGCATTAATAAGGTGGCATACCTGGGAATATAGCTTGTCTGTGGTATTTGGGAAATCAAGATTTATTGTCTGAAAAAAAAACAGAGGTCAAAATGTACATGTTGTAAAAATGTACACTAAAAAAAGTCAAAAATTTTTGGTGAATCATTTTATCAGAGAGGATATAACTTAAAATGGAATATAGTGTGAAGTTGACTTGTTACTTAACCATTAAGTAGAGTGAAGCAAACTTCTTAAACAAAAGCATGACTTCTAAAACTGCTTGTCCCATAATTTTGCATACAGGAAAACATTCTCTTTTTTGATGATATGCCATCATCAAAGTTACTTTAGACACTAAAGGAGATAGTTTAAGGTAAAAGTGTAAGGAAAATATATAAAATATAGCATACCTCTTAAAAGCAAAAAAGGTTACCTGAAAGTCTCCTGGACACATTTCCTTCCTTTTAAAAGCATACCTTGGCTGCAGCTGAAAACAGATAAAACTATGGCTAAAAGCAAGTGTCAAACATTACATTCATATAAAATGCCAAATTGTTAATCACAATAAGTGAATGAAGCAAAACAAATATTTACTTACGACAATGCCTTTAGTCTCTAAACTTTTCAGCATGCACTCAGTTAGAAATTCCCCTCCAATTGGAGATGTTGCCACAGCCTACAAGGCAGAAAACTAACATCATAAAGATAAGGCAGGTAGTAAATTATAAGGTTGTCAGAATAAATTGAATTGACTATAAACCACACAACCGACTTCCTCAGAGCATGACTGAAAGAGTTTGAATATAAAACTCTTTTTAAGTGTTGATTAACTTAAAGGCTCAGGATAGTCCAATATATAAACCCTTCTTTGTTGGAATCATGACATACAACGCAGCGGAAAAAGTATATCATGACTATTAATCAAAATTAATTAAATATTAGAAGAATACCTGAAACGCTTTCCGAATTTCTACAATAATCTGTCCCGAGATCAATCCAAAATAGCTTCCTCAAGAGAAAAAGCCTCCAATTGAAATCCACCCGTCACCGTAGAGGAGCAATACTGAGAGATAGGTTCTCAAAAATCTATTTCTTCATATTATCTTCATAAGATTTTGAATCTCTTCTCTTAACCTCTCATAAGGCTACATATGAACCCTATTTATAGGATTACACTAGTCTTAGAGATTTTAACTTTAAACAATTCATAATTATCAAAAACTTTATCCATAACAATTAAGGATAGAAATAGAATTGTATTGCATGTATACCTCTTCTAATGACATTAGTGAGACCAATTGGGTTCCATATCGAGAACCAATTATTAATCAAATTAATAATTTTAATTTAACAATCAAATCCCTATCCGACCAATTGTTCATAAAAGCTCTTCCATAATATGGGATTAATTATTAATAAATAATATCTTACATTCACTCCCTTCCAGTATCATTTATTTTAGGCAACTCTTTTAAGCAGGACAACTCACCTATTTGCTCATGCCTAAATTTGCAATTCCCATGAACATAAATAAAAATCATTTTGAAACGTCAAAATATTTTATTTTTATAAGAAAGTAAATTTTTAAAAATATTTTTTTAAAACCACCTGCCGGCAGGAATTTAATAGCTTCATGGGAATTTTTTTTAAAATATTTTCAAAACCACCTGCCGGCAGGAATTTAATAGCTTCATGGGAATGCATAATAAATTAACTCATCATAATGAGCATACTGGATCCTATCTAGACATCCATCATTTTCCTAAATGAAATTTAGCAACCCAATGTTTCAGGTTGTGTAGCGCTTGCTAAACAAGCTTAACCATCACATCAAAGCATACTAAATTATCAAATCGAAAATGATAATATCATCAAGTCAAAGGGACCATGTAACAATTTGAACTCTCTATCTCTTAGGTGACTCATCCTAGAGAATTCAAATACGGTCTAGTGCTACACACATCATAATGCGTGCTTATGACATACACCCGGAGAATCTCCATTCTCGATGGTTGAGACCCACCACCATATCTCATATATCGGTGTCATGCATAATAACCTGTTATAACAAAGTTATCCTTTACTAGTTATAGGTTAAGCACAAATTTAAGAAATTTCTAAGTTAGATCATATCTCCAAGCAAGTGACCATCACAGTGCATGATCTAACAAAATAACTTCTAAGGATATATATAACAATTATATAAATAATAACCAAATTATGTGCAACAATTAAATTTATTAACATTACAATATTATTACATAATTTGTATTGGATGTTCAAGGGCAAATTATTATTACTATTCCAGCAATCTCCCACTTGCCCTAACATCCAATCAGATGTAATCCTTTTTCCCATCTGTCAAAAAATTTTAAGACAATGGTCTATAAAAGGATATTAAATGTTGTCTGCTTAGCCATCTATTAAACTATAACATATTTCTTCTTATTAACCTTTAATAAGATAATTTTTCTTTCTAAGCTTCTTGCAACAGCTCCATTACTATCAAATAATAATGAGAAAGAAAATTATTACAAGAAATAATATTAAGCTTATGGAATAACTCATTAATCCATATTCCTTCTTTTAATGATTTAACATGGCACTACATATTCTGCTATTATTATTAATGATATAAATATAACCCGAAACAGACTTTCTATTATTATGATTGGATTGAAAACTACTTACAAGATCAATAACAACCTTTTTGGGACACATTTCCTTAAAGAGTGATTGTTTATGTCTTATAGGAACCATTCCTTTCTTGGAATCTTTTTAAGTTGAATCTTTTATGGATCTTATCCATATAAGTAGATTGTGACAACTCTATATATCTATTTCTCTATCTATATAGAGTTTAAGATCTACGATATAGAATGTCAAAAGAAAATCCTTCATAAAGAACTAAATCTTACTTTTACTCATGACATTAAAAAATATCATTCTTAATGAGCAATATGTCATCAACATGCAATGATAGGAATATAATGGACTTACTTTATTGTTCCTTATACACACATTATTTCTTTTTAAGGATATGATTAAAATCAATTTCCTTAAACATTTCATCAAAATGAATGTTTGATTGATTAAGTTCATAACTTTAATTGATTCAATTAATCAATTTTATCTTCTTGAATTTTACATACTTGATTCTATAATATGTAAATATCTTCTTAAAGATATCCATTCAAGAAGGTTATTTTAAAATCCATTTATTGATATCTTATATTCATAACACGTTGAAATGACTAAATGGATCCTTATGAACTATAATATTACAATTAGAGGAAAAGATTCTTCAATAATTAATACCCGTTTGTCATCAAATATGATATCAGGTCTCTTACATGAAATCATGTCCAACATGACTTTTGTGTAAGTTTTAGGATTTTTATTCTCCTTGTTACTTTTCATCAAATATATTTTAACAAGGCTACTGTACTATACAGGTGGATGAAAATCCTGTTTGATCTCCTAATTGTAATCAGTGTATTCAACAATAAATTTAGTAAGTAAATCTACATTTACTTTATTACTTAAAGCTCCCACTAAATTTATACAATCTTCAACTCATTTGAAGTTTCTCCCACTGGATTAAATAACTCTCCCACTAAAGAAAACAAATTTTCTTCTTGAGTTATATAAATCCTAATCATCAAGCTTGACTTTATAAAAGAACATATTTCTAGTAATAATTATTGTCTGAAAACTACACTAGGATTATCAATATAATACCTAGTACTTTCTTTAGGATAACCTACTAGTAGGATGTTATTTACCTTAGACTCCCATTTTGTCCATATTTTATTCTCTGATGAGAATATGACAACTCCAGATCTCCAAGCGTCATACACTTAATTTTCTTCATATCCATGTCTAATATGGAGTGAAAGAAAAAGATTTGGCAGGAATTCTACATAATAAATAATATGCAATCTCCAATGCATAACCTATTAGAAAATAAGAACAGGTTAATGCCCAGCATAAACCTAACCATATCGAATAAGGTTTAGTTCCATCTTTCAGACAAATAATTAGGAGTGATAAATTAGTAGATGTCAAAGTACTAACAATTCCATTTTGTTCATAAATCTCTTAAATTCCTAAAATTAGGAACTTGCCATCTGGATCAAATCAGATGATTTTGATACTTTTATCAAACTCCTCTTTAACTTCAATAACATTCTAATTTATGATGCAATCACATAAATATATCAATATATAAATACATCATATATGAATGCTATAAAATAAGAATATTTAACTATTGCTTTAACATTTAAAGGATCATATACATCTGAATGTATGAAGTCAAGAGTACGCAAGAGCTTTAGCACTATTTTAGAAAAATAGTTTGGTCATATGTCTCTTAGACAATATTTACAAGTTGAGAAATATTCTAATTTAGAAAAATCAAAGGACTATCCTTTATCAATTTATTGATCTTATCAACATTAACATGACCTTGTATTTTTGTGCCAAAGATAAGTTGGATTACCTTGATCCAATCTATATTTTAAGAGATTTATCAATTCCAATAACATTACATTACATAAGAGTTAAGGGTGGCAATCATGAAAATAAACAGTTTTAATTTCATAATTATCAACAAAGCAATTTCTAAACTTTTAATAGAAATTCTATTTTACAAGAAAATAGAAAATCACTACTATAAAATTTAGAAAATGGAAATCAAATTTCTTCTAACTTTAAGACAATCTTTAAGTTTCATTTCATGCCCTTCACTCAAAACAGAAACAAATTTCTTATTATTTTTATTTTTACAATGCTGAAACTAGGGCTTTTATTTTCATTGTCAAAGTTAATCTTTTCATGTACTCTTACAACAAATTTGTAAGTATGTAAAGATAAACTAGAATGAATACATCATATATAAAAATCATTCACATTAGTAGACTCTACTAATCAATGGGTGAACTGTCTTCAAAAGACATTTCTTTATTAAGTGACATAATGTAACCTTTACAATTTTCTTTTCTAATGACTTTCATTATTTAAATTTCCGCTTCATGTTTAGAAATCTATTTTACTTTTTAGATTTCCCTCTTAAGAAAATTTTCTTTTCTTAATACTGGACAATCCAGTTCGATATCCATCATTATGGATTTAACCTGCTTAATAATATTCTTTTCACTTTTTCTTTAACAAGTTGTTCAATTCTAATACAGCGGTAGTTAAATTAAACAAGGAGTGAGATTAGGAAGTAAATATCACATCAACGTTTGATTTTGATCTTAATTTCCAACAAATCTAATTTGTCAATATATATCAAAACATCTTATGAAAATATATATCTGCTTTCATCTTATGAACATTACTTTTATCATTATTATCTTTAAGCAGGATTATGATTGATGATCTTTATCATCAGTTACATCTGGTTAAGCGGGTATGTCACCTTAGACAATCAGCATTTGAAAATTAAATAGATTTCTTTTCCAATTCAACAGTTCGGGCTATCTAATTTATAATCATTCAATAACATATCAAAATGACAAAATTTAGTCATCATGTACAAGCAGAATATAATAACACAAAAATTATAAGTTATTATTTTATTATTGCACAATCATTACAGGGATATTTTAAGTAATGATTTCACATTTAACATTTCTTTCATTTATTTAAATGTGAACAGGAAATCCAAGTTTAATTATAAACCTCCAGATTTTCAAGATCGAATATAATTAAACAAGGTAGAATCATCTATTCAATCATTAACAATTAACGATTTTTCTTTAAATTTTGGTCTTTGATGTAAGATGTGCCCCACTATTTTAGCGAGCACCCCAAGACATCAATGAAGTGTTAACCCATCAATCCAGCTATTTTATATAAAACAGGTGGCACTACCTATTTTAGTCTAGTGGTCCCATTATACATAAAATACTTGGCATCCTTATGCGAGGTATAACTAGATAATAAATTTTAACAAACCCTATCCTTTGTGGCATCAGATAAGTTAAAAAATTATTATCTAAGTTATATCTCTATGATGGAAGACCTTTAGATTTATATTTCTTAAAAAATTAATCTATCTACACTTCTATACAACTTTTGTTATTTATTATAACTGAGAGAAAATAACAACAGTCAATTTCTAATAAATTCTAAACTGTCTTATTTAATAAAACAAATTCAGAACAATTCTGGACCTTACAGTAATTTTTCATGTATTACTTTAATCACATGAATTATTGAATCTAAACAATTTAAAATTAACATGATCATATCACAAGTATAATACAAAAAATATTTTAGAAATATACATGATACAATATCATTTCTAACAATTCACTAAGAGTTAGATAATCTTTTCAATAAAAGAAACTAAACTATACATGCATATGGACTTTAGAACAATTTCTACAACTGCTAGGGACTAATCAAAAATTAGTCTATATATTCAGATGGATCTTAAAACAGTTTCAAAATCAATCAGGAGGGTGAAGCTAATTTCACATCAAAATTAATATACTAGTAGACTCAGAACAATTTCTGGATCAAGCAGGGGTCTGTAACTAATTTTACAGTTATTCATCAATACTGGTGGACTTCAAAACAATTTCTGAATCAAACAGGCGTCTGATAATAATTTTACAGCAATTCATCAATACTCACGGACTTCAGAACAGTTTCTGGTTATATCAGGGAGCTATAACTAATTTTATAGCGTGTTTGAGAACATGATGGACTTCAGAACAGTTTCTGGGTCAATCAGGGGTCTCAAATTAATTTTACAATAAAATTGAAATCTAATAGGGTTCGGGTCTGGTTCTGTTTGCGGGTCAGACCCGTTCAACTAAAAATTTAAATCCTAATGGGTTTGGGTTCATAACCCTTAATGAAAATAAACCCAATAAGATATCATCTTCTTCAAAGAAGATCTAGGGTTTGGGCTAAGGATGTGGATGGCCCGCCGCCACCCTTTGTCCGGCGGCGGCGACGGCGGCGAGCCCAC